ACTTTCTAGGAGGAAAAAAGTGAGTGTTATGGTGCAAAAAATACGGTAATTACTCTTATGTAAGTGTGCTTATGATTGTAATCTTCAGCAAATGATAATTTGTATTTGTAAATCATCCTGAATGTAGGAAAGGCAGGGTGTAAATAAAGAAAACAAACTTTCATGTGTAAGTAGAACAGAGTTGCTTGCTGTAATGGTTGTTCATGTAGTGGTGTCTGCAGTGATACCGCCACAATTGTTCAGGTGCACACCACAGAACATAATGTTCTAGACTATAATAATAAGAAAGGGAATACTGTATGCTATCCCTGACACTTCCTCTCAGGTTTAGCTCTTGTTACCAGTTCCTGTCCATACACACATTCACATGAACCCCCTCACTTACTCAATGTCTATAAAGCTACTGATTTGTGGATCTTTACTGGGGACAATTATGCACTGAGTTCTGTTGCAGAAGTGGAAATTCCTGTGTGAACAGGGCAACTTTGTTGGATCTAACTCTTGGAACTTAGTAGGACTTACTTCTGAGTAGAGACATTAAATAACTAAACTTCCACAGTTTTAAATTTTATTCCAAGTAGTTTCTGACATTATCTTACTGGGAAGTTGCACATTAGGGGATTGTGTATTACTGCTATTTAATAGTAATGTACAAGTCAGGACACTGTCTAAACTGTAAATAAATAAATCTGCGGCATGAGGTAAATTTCATGAAAAACCAGAAGACTATGCTAGTGTCTTCTGCAATAATACATTTACCTATATCCCTCATGGTCCATATATGTGATGTGGCAAATCTTTGCTTACACAGAGTCAGGCACTAGGTTTTATTATTGACTAGTAAACGATTAGTACAGTGGTGCCTCGCAAGACGAAATTAATTCGTTCCGCAAGTCTCTTCGTCTTGCGAGTTTTTCGTCTTGCGATGCATGGTTTCCCATAGGAATGCATTGAAAATCAATTAATGCGTTCCTATGGAAACCGCCTTCAGACCAGGTCCGGGGACAGTCTGTCCCCCGACCTCTTCTGAAGGCTGGGGGGGGGGACAAGGGCTTTTCTTCCCACCCCCAGCATTTTAAAAAAACCCCGGGACAGCGGAGGACTTCTCCGCTGTCCGGGGCGATCTTAAAATGCTGGCGGGCGGCATTTTAAAATCGCCCCAGGACAGCGGAGGACTTCTCCGCTGTCCGGGGCGATTTAAAAGCCCCTGGGAAGGCAGGCAGGGGGGACAAAGACTTTTGCCCCCCGCCAGCCTTCAGAAGGTGTTCCCGCCCCGCCGCCCGGCTACGGAGGAGGTCCGAGGACAGTGGGGAAGACGCGCTGCGCTTCCCCGCTGTCCCGGAGATTTCCCTATGGGCTTTCGTCTTGCGAAGGAAGCCCATAGGGAAATTCGTTTTGCGAAGCGCCTCCAAAACGGAAAACCCTTTCATCTAGCGGGTTTTCCGTCTTGCGAGGCGTTCGTCTTGCGGGGCACCACTGTATCCAGGATATACATTCCACACCAAGTCCCAGTTCAAGAAACTGTTATGCATTGTATATGCTATGGCAGGAGGGGCAGGTCGTATTGGCAAAAGAAGAGCCGGATCTAACATAGGGAAATAGCTGAATAAAATGTTGCTCTTCTTTTTTTTTTTTTTTTAACCATGAAATCCAACATTCAAATTTGTTAATCTCGCCAGCGGCATCTGTTAACAAATCAGTTTATTTTTCATTTGAAAGCAACATTTAAGAATCAAATTGTCACACTTCTATGCTCTTCACCCTGCAGAAAGGGAAGATGAAAGAGGCAGCACAGCGGTACCAGTATGCCTTACGAAAGTTTCCTCGAGAGAGTTTTGGAGAAGAAATGAAAGCTTTCAATGAGCTCAGAGTTTCCTTATATCTAAACCTCTCAAGGTGCCGCAGAAAAACAAATGTAAGTTCTTTTGTCCAAGTTTTTATGCATTGTGACTGACTACATGGAGACTGTAGGAAAAATTGATGATACCAATTTTAGGTGAATAGATCTGCTAAAGAGTGCTTGCATAGCCTTTTAGTCAGTGTGTGCTATCATGACTAAACTTTTTTTAAAAGTGATGTGAATAAGCAATATTAATACTACACATCATCAAAACATGTCAGCAGTACAAATTTCAAGAGCAGTTAGCAGAAATTTGATTAGGATGATACCATGAGGACTCTCTTGCCCAGTGCAAAAGTGAAATAGCCAGGCAGTTCTTCTGCACTGTAATGTTTCATTGCAGTAATTTTTTAATTGAAACCGTTTTATGGTTATTCCGGCAGGATTTTGGCATGGCAGAGGAGTTTGCTACCAAGGCACTTGATCTCAAACCCACATCCTATGAAGCGTATTATGCTAGAGCAAGAGCCAAGAGGAACAGCAGGTATCGACAGTTGCTATGCAGCAACAGTTTATTTCATAGTAATATTCTCTTTATGATAATTGCATAATCAATATGCTTATATTTATGGTAATGGAAACTGCAGTCTTGTGGGATACCAGGAATGGGTTTGCAGTTGTAGGACAAATATTGATATTTATTAAATGATTATCTCTGTTTGGGGGGGGGGGTAACCTCACGATTATCTAAACACTAATTTTGGATAGAATGGGGGGGGGAATAGGATAATTTTGCACAAGGTGGTGTTTTTTGGTAAAAATGCCACAAACAAGTATCATTCCACAAGAGCAGAACTGGGAACAATTACTGTGACTGGCACTTTGTCTATGGTGTTCAGCTTAAATTCAATTCCTTCCCCTCACATCAGATCGCTTGCAAGTGTGCTAAAAAAGAGGAAAGGGAGCAGTCCTCCAGCTAGGGCCACGAAGTAACCACATTTAGTTCTGCTAAAAACAGTTTTTGCATTTTTGTCATCTATACTGCTTTCCCCCAAAGGTAATATTTTATAGAGAATTTTTTTGTGTTTGGTTCCTCCCCAACTTCTTAGGCAATTTCATGCAGCCCTTGGTGACTTGCGAGAAGCTATAAAGTTGTGCCCTGGAAACCAAGAAATAAAGAGGCTGCTAGCTCGAGTTGAAGAGGAGTGCAAACAGCTCCAGAGAACACAGCAACAAAAACAGCAGTGTCCTCTGCCAGCCCAACCAAGCAATGACTCTGACAATGAGGGGGAAGCTCTTGTTCAGGATCACTTCAGTCTGGAAGAGATAGAAGAGGAGGAACTTTTGCATGAAGACGAGCCTGGTCCGTCTGGGCAGAGGCTGCCACTTTCCCAGGCTAATACATCAAGCAGCAGAAACTCTCAGGAAGGCAGCCAGCAGAAATTTAGACCCATATCCCCTCCAAACAGAGCAGGCAGTAAATTCCTGAGAGAGCCTGGCTTAACTATGCAGCCCACAAAACAAGCACAGATAGTAAAAACCAACCAGCACCTGAATTCCGTCCAGTCTGTGGCAAGAACTGGGTCTAGTCAGTCCAGCACAAAGACTCAGCCTCTTCAATATCTTCCTCCAAGCCCTGTGACCTCCAGGCACCTCACAAATCCAAGCTACAATAAAAGCCAGCATTTGGATGGGACAAGTACGCTATCAGCAAATATCACCACGGGCAATAACAGCTCAGCAGTATTCAGTGAAAGACCGACAGCAGTCCAGGTTCCCTACTTGCAGCATAGTGATAAAGGATCGCCTCATTCCTTCATGAGCAAGTCCAAAACGCATGAGAGGCTAGCTGTCCACACTCCTGCAAACATCGAAAACATAGGTCCATTACAATCTCAAGGAACTGGTGAATTAAGGCAGCAAAACCCCATCTGTCCTGGTCTGCTTTCTGTTAGCATGGTAGCTTCCAGCTCAACAAGCAGCCTGTCCTCAAGCAGCAGCTTCTGCGAGAGTGTAAAAGGGCAAAGTCCAGATAGTCGGCTCAAGGAAAGCAAAGGTAGTCAATGTCAGAGTGGAACAGCAGAACATAGGCCTCGGAATACTCCCTTCATGGGGATCATGGATAAAACTGTGCGGTTCCAGCAGCAGCAGCAACAGCAGCAGCAGATGAACCTATCAAATCGCAGTTGGCATGGTCAAGCTGCAGAAGGGTTCCTGAAAAGTGCTGGAACGACACTGACTTTGAGCTGTGAGCAGTTCTCTGCCAAACATGCAGGCAGCTATGGCAATCCTGCAGCTTGCTCTTCAATACCAGGAGAGAGCATCCAGAACGGAACTCAGCCTAAAGAACTAGAGGAACTACAGTGCCAAGCATCTGCCTGCTCACAAGATAGCAGGATAGGTAAGCCTGTGGCTCATTTGTACCAGGAAGTTCTCTCTAAACAGCACACTCAGCTTAATAAAGACATTCATTTGAGTCACGTGACTTCTACAAAGCCAAAGCGATCTTTCGTAGAATCTAATGTCTGAATAATGCTAGCCATTTTATTACAAACTAATAGTGATGCACCATCTCCCTGGTTGTTAAACCTAGTGCATAGTAGCATATAAGTTACTGATATTAATCACTAATATTTTACAGGGTGCATAACAGAAACCAGATCATCCAGCCACTTCTTTTAACACTAAGACTGTCCACAGCATGCCTGTGACTATTAATCAAGAGATGAGTGGCCACCATAGAGTTAAGAAGCTATTTGTTTATGTAGGAGAATATGTTTTTTCTAAGAGAGGATTTAAACAGACTTGCCTGCTTAACTAGACTGGTCAGTAAATCAAGCTGAGTCCTTTTGAGAAAGGCAAATACAATTATTTTGTACAGCCATGTATATCTGTTACTGCTTGAAATGAATTAATTCCTGCAAGGTGGTGGGATCCACAGAACATCCAAATCTGTCCATGAATGTTCTTTATCAGGAAGATTTAGTAGTAGTATTCCAGTTTCATAAGGATTCAGGTGTAAACCTATCACCTCATGTGCAACTGAGGTTGACTTTCATTACTGCAATTTAGGAGGTAAATTACAGGATATTTTGCATGAATTTTGTCCAACATCCTGGTTATTGCACTGAGTATATAATTATGACATGTTAACAACATATAACAGCACTTTACATAGTTTATTCAAACACCTTTTGAGGTGCTATGTCAGTACAAGATGGAGGATAAAGAGGAATACAAGCTTTGCTAGCGTTTTTACAGAACACTCAACAAATGTCTGAGGAGTATAAGCATGTGCATTTACTTTATAGGAACAACATCTAATACTTTCCTCAGTGTTTCACAGTGGAAAAGCTTTCTTTTCAATTTCAAGGATGTTTTCAAGATGGGTAGTTTGTAAGGACATTCCTGTGAGGTTGGAGTTATACAAGCTTGGAGTATTCTGTTGCCCTTTAACAGTGATTTCCATGTGTACAGTATGTAGGTACATTATAACAGCATTCTTGGGTGATTTTTTAAAAAACTCGCAATTTAAAAAATGAATTGTTATTCTCTACTCTAGCTTATTTATTGTTTATCTTGGTATTTGTACAATCTTATTTTATTCTCTTGTTCTGTAGATCTATTTTTTTGCACAGCTACTGTATTTTCCCATATGAAATAAAAGACTATTAATATAATTTCTGGTTGGGTAGTATACATACCCGTTCACTGATCTACCTTCTCCTGCTGTTGTGCCAGTCAGTCATCACTAATGCAACTTCAATAAGGTTTTGGTAGGAAACCACCTGACCCTCCAAATGTTCCATCATCTACAGTCAGCATGGCTAAACAGTCAAGGATCATGGGAGTTGGAGTGCAACAGCATCTGAAGACCTATACACCCTTATTCTATGGGTACCCCTCTGCACCAAAGGTATATCATAAAAAGTTATTGACATGTCCAAATACTACTGTTAACAATGCTGGCTCTCCAGAAGTCCTCACTGGGTACCTACTACATACACATGGCTGCATCTTCAAGCCCCTTGGAGTATTTATGAACATCAGAATTGTACAAAATAGCACTGAAGATGATGTGCTTATTTAATTAGCCTTAGTTTGAGAAGTTTGCCATTTAGTTCTTGGACCATGCTTCACTGAATATAATAGTCAACTGCTAATTAAGGAAGCATGATGTCAATGTTGGCTCCTAGCCAAAGTGATCCTGCCATTCACTGCTGACCAGTACCCATGCCACATCTAATCAGGGCATGCAAACTCTTCAGCCGTTTCATCCTTTATACTAAGCCCTACAGTGCTCAGTATACTTAGCTGTATGCTCCAAAATTAAACTTTTGTGGACAAAGTTCTTTACATATTTTTAAATGATATAGACAAGAGCCTATGAAAGGTCATTTTAAAAATGATTTCTTCCAATAATTCTCATTAGGCCCCAAAATGAAATAATTGTTGCAGCAGCATAATTTCTAAATTATATTTAATTTATTATTGAACATAATCCAGCATACGCTTGGCTCTCCTACTGAAATTAATGGGACACGCAATGCTGTGCATGTGGATGTCCCACATGCATGTCATTAAGTATCAATAGAAGTTACTACATAAATACATAAAATTTCAACTTTAACTTGATCATGCTTAACATAAAAAACATAACTTATAGATGCAAGTATAAATCATGTTAGGTAGCAATTTGAATTCTGATCAGATTCAATCAAGGGGCTGAATTTATACAGAGGTACAGTGAGAGACCACAGCACAAAGATGTTTACTGTTGTATTCACCTACCTTCAGCTTCATTCCCACTTATTTGAAAGAAGAATCATACTGTTTAGGGAGACTGTTTTTCATTATATTTTGGCTGAGTTTCCAACCAGCGATTGATAGCCATTTTCAAAGTTCTGTTTGGGGTAAGTATAAGTCTCTGAAGAGGGAGATTTGTCATGGGACTGGAATGCCTTTTTTCAGTGATCCACTTTTCCATTGCTTCCTTCTCATAGGAATAGCCATCTGAAAAGAGAATTACAAACTTTACTGGAAAAGGGTATATGCATGCCCTACAAAAAAACCAACAAAAAAACCTTAAAGACATTCTAGAAAATTGCCTTGGCAGATACAAAGTTAAAAGGCCGATATGTAATTGAGCTGGGCAAGGTTGGTGCCCAAAACCTTGGAGAGCTACTGCCAGTTGCAGAAGACTGGAGAAAATCCTTTTTCCCTTTTCAGCACAAGGGCTGCATTACAATTTGGCTCACCATTCAGGGACTGCATGCCTGCAGTGGCCAGGGCCAACCCTCACATGCATCCAGACTCTTGCCTCTCCTCATGCAGGAATTACACTTTTTTTAAAAAGCATCAGAACTTTTTTCAAGCTTAAGTACCAGAAGGGTGATCTTTGTGGGCAAGGTGCATATGGAGGGAAGCTGCAATCCTCACATAGCAATTAGGCTTTCAGTGGAAGGCTTTCTTCCAAGTCAATTGCTGCACAGGAAGGGGGTTTTGTAGCAGTATTGGAGAACATAAGGAAGGCAAGAGATGATCTTCCCCCAACTACAACCCCCAGCAACAGGCCTTACAAAGCTTCCATTCACACCCACAGAGGTTTTGAAAAATCAAATCTTAATTACTGCAGGGAAAGAGCTAATAGGGAAGCCCTGCAGGCTGATAATTCTCCACCTCTGCAGTAGAGTATCCTGGGCTAGTTGGAGCCTGTGGTTGTTACTGTATGAACATTGGAAGCTATTTCCTGCAGTGAAAACGACACTTGGGTCTATCTGCTTGAACATACAGTAAATGAGATTGCCAATATTGTACCCTCCAGATTGTTGTACACCAGGGATGTCCAGCTTCAAAGAGACTGCGATCTACCACCACTATAAAAACACTGGCAGTGATCTACCCACTGGATTGACCAAAGTTGTTGAGCTTTTTGGGGGGGGGGGCGTGATCGAACTGGATCACACAATCGACCAAGAACAGCATCAGACAGCATGACCAGTCATCATGGAGAGGGATGATGGAAGCTGTTGTTCCCAGCATTGGGAGGGAACCGTGTTGGCTACTGTAAACAATGTAAGCATGAATACAGAACTCCCTCAACCGTATTTCCAACATTAGGCAGAGGCACACTTGAAATCACCACAGCATGTACATTCAATATGGCACTGGAGCTCTTTGCAACTCTGATGTTTTTGCAAATACTTCTCCAAGTCACAATTCTTGTAAAGTGGACCCCAGTCCTTATTCTTGCCCCCTTTCTATTGTCTCAACTACAGTGGTACCTCGGGTTACAGACGCTTCAGGTTGCAGACTCCGCTAACCCAGAAATAGTACCTCAGGTTAAGAACTTTGCTTCACGATAAGAATAGAAATTGCACGGCGGTGGCAGCGGGAGGCCCCATTAGCTAAAGTGGTATCTGAGGTTAAGAACAGTTTCAGGTTTAGAACGGACCTCCAGAACAAATTAAGTACTTAACCTGAGGTACCACTGTATAGGTGGTTGCATATGAGACACTATACTGCAAAGCCATATGAATGCTATTTTATAAGATCAATAACTAGATACATTTACACCCATAGTTTATGTTGCCTGAACCATGATTGCAATTGCACTCATCTTTTTATTTTAATTGTAACCCCTATGATAAGACTGAACACTGTTTTCTGTTGGTAGAGAAAAATATTCTCCCACCAACCTTCTCCAAACATTTGCTGAATGAAAGCTGGGATTCTATGCACATCTATTATATTACTTATTTTAATATGAGCTTTAAAATTGGTTTCCCAAAATTCATCACAAAGCTGTCAAAAGAATCATCAGAGCTGCTATGCAAGGTCCCTTGTGCCCATTGCCTTTCATGTATAAAACAGAAGCACCGAAACAGTGACGTGACTAGGCAGTAAATTGCCATTGACAATCTGCATTTTAATAGCCCTCATTCAATACTGATGCTTTTAAAAAAATATATGTATGCATTGCCATTTTATTGTAAAAGCCATTGTTTACTTCTGCTTAAGTCGCATACACTTTCCCCAGAAGCATGACATGAACATAGTTTTATTTGGACATTCGCTGAGCACTCATCAAAAAATGTGTGCTGGTTGCCTTTACCTCTTCCTTTTTGAAATAAGAGGAAGAAATGAATCACAATATTTGCATTTAGCACTTTCCAGCATAAGATTGATATCAAAGTGAGAAAAAGTAAGAGGCACTAAAATATTAATCAAACATTTACTGTAATATCTAATGCATTTTGTGACAGTGAGTATTTCCCATTGTGTGAGAAATGAAAGGTGACAACGGGGAAAGCAGGCATGTATGGAAGAGTTCACATCTATGCTTTCAAACAGCAGCAGCCTGCTTCACTTCTATACCTTTATTTCCCACAACTACTTTTCTTTGGGGGGGGGAGGGCAACAAAACTATTGCCACTGTTCTTCTTTGCTTTGTTTGTAGCTGAGAGCAAAGTGATAATTCATAAAACATTGCAAGATACCATGAAATATACTGCTCTGAAGCACTTACAGTAGCTAATTTTGCTCCCCAGAAGTAGCTGTGACCTGAAGCGTCTGTAACCCGAGGTACCACTGTATATTACTAACAACCTCTTTCAGCCATCAAGATCTACCAGTGATCAAATTGCAACCTTACAGCAGCACAAGAATAATCAAGCATATGCACTCACTATAGTGCAATTCTCTATAGGTCGACTCAGAAGCGAGTCCAATTGGGCTCAATAACACTCCAAACAAGTGGATATGGGAATGCAGCTGAAGTTTGTGAACTAGACTTTGTAACAGAAGAGTAAATGTCTTATTTTCTGTCCCATTATTCCCAAATATCGTTATATGATGTCCATTCAAATGAGAGCAATTGTGTTCTGTAGGGAGTTGTACTGGCACATTATTCCTTTTTTTCAATTTCACATGCAGCTCTACAATTGTTTTGTTACTATAAACTTCACAGCAATGAATTCTCTGAAACATTTTAAGATACGCCTTGTTGCATATAATCATAAATGTTTAGTTGCAAAACCAAAACCCAGCCTCTGGATAACTCATTGGGGCTGCCATTTTGTCTGGAAAGTAGATGGCAAAAACAGACAAAATGGCAGTGTCCCTGTGACATGTCTGTATCCAGCAAGCTGTTGACCATCTGAACAACTCCACTAGACTGTGTAGATAAAATGGCATTCTTGGGCACAGGGACTATGCAAAGCCATAAAGAGCCTGCATGCAAGACTTTGCTGTATTTACCAGAGGAAAGGTTTCCCTTGCTGTTTGGGGCAGTGCTATAAAAATATTGAGCACTAAAAGTTTCCTGAGTAGTTTTATATCATAAAGATAAATTATTAATACCTGAGCCTTTTTATCTGAACTGAAATAATAAAAACATATAAATCACTTTCATCACACCTACCTGCAGCAATGACTGGCTCTCTCATAAGCTCCCTTGTTATGGGACATAGGAATTCATCAGGGATACCCAAACAGGCAGTTTTCATTTCAGTCCTCAGCTCCTCAATGTTACGCAATACTTTACTGCGAAGACCTAGCGATTCTGGAAAGGAATTCACAATAATGACCACTTTAGAGTCTTCTTGGTGCCACAATCAAACTTGAAAATGCTTACCTTATGCATATATTGCATAAAGCAGTGGTTCCCAAACTTTTTGCCCCCTGGATCACTTTAAAATCACTGGTGAACAATTTAATTATTTTTCTGCCTGTCATAGCAATTGCAATGCACTGTGCTAGATGCTGTATGCTTTTAATTGTATTTTGTTGTATTACAATTCAAATTGTAAGTGTTCTTTCCACAAATGCCATGGAGCACTTCTGGTATAAGTTCATCTCTTCTTTTTCTGTAACACTGAAAAAGTCTAAATGTACCAATTGTGATACCTGGGCAAACATTGCCCCTTCAAACATTATGGTATATTAGAAGAATGGCCCAGATGCTGCTCTTGTATAGTCTTTAAAGATGTCCTGAGACTACAGAGTAAGGATAGGGTAGGGGTAGGCTGGAGTTCTCTTTTTCTGTCATTCTCTGATGCACCTCATGTTCCCATAAATTAATTGTAGGGGAATAATGTAACTGCAAAGACTAAAAGGCTACTTGCAGATGGGAAAATAAGACACCCCCCCCAGATGATTTATTGCTGAAATATTGTAAGAGTGAATGTAGATACTGCAGCAACATAACACTATTTTCAACCAATATCCAGTGAAGAACCAGACAGGAGAGCCTTTTAAATCACATTGCAGTCAACTTCGACAGTATTCAAGCAAATAAAAAACAAGCCTGTTTCAAAGTTGTCATTGCAACTCATTAGCAATGCTCAGAATTCAGTCAGCAAACTATTAACGAACTCCCAAACTGCTTAGATGCCCCACCCATCATTATTATTAGAACCTTTTATTACTTTCTATGTGGATTCTCCTTCACATGTGCAAAAGAAGAGCAGCTGGACTCATTAACTATGTTTGTACAGGAATTGATATTCTAGTGATGTTTTAGAAAGAAAATAACAGGTAAGAGGTGGTAGAGATAGTGGCTGGTGGGTGTATTAACATACCTTTCCTTAATTCTAATGTGTAACCACATTGAATTTGAATGAATATGAAAATCCTGTACTTTATTTCCATGGCCTTTGCTGTCCTAATTTAACTAATGTTTATGTAGTTACATGGCAATTAGCTTAGAAGAGAGGCTGGTTCTATTTGCATGGTAATAAAAAATTGTTCCAAAGAAGTGTCAAAAACAATCAAACAGACTAATGAAATACTATGTAAACCATCTGCTGGTCACCTTTTCAATTAAGAAAGAAAAAACTAATGTAACAGGACGAGCCTAGCCAAACATGTAGAAGTTACACATGTTTTATCTCTATATACTGTTGATTTTAATAATCTTTTGAACATCTTTAGAATTCTTGTTAAATAGTTTAAAACAGATATGTAATGCTTAATATTTTTGTAAACCACTTAAGAGTTTTTTCTTACAAGCGGTATATACTTTTTCTTATAAAGTTAACTAAGCTAATATGGTGCACCTTCTAGGCAGGTTAGACTACACGTAAATTTTAGCTTTTAGTTTCTCCACAGCATTTTGTCATTAGATGAGCTCAGGGAGCACCTGAGACAGCAGCATGTGTCCTGTTCTACCATGAAGCCAGGAGGCAGCTGGTCTGCACAACTCTGCTAATTTCCAAACACCACTAGAGACTGCCTAATGCTTATGGCTGTCTATATTACATTGTTGTTGTTTTGTAAACCACTTTGGAATCATTTATGTGGAAGGTGGCATATATGTGATTTAAAACAAATAATTTATGCTATAACAATAGCTTTTTCATGTGGGGTAGGACTTAAATAATTGGATACTTCATTAAGCATCTGGTTGGGCAGAACACCATTCCCAACACACACACACATATACGTATGTGCCTATATCTGTATCTTCCTGTGATATATTCTACATTGTATTTATCACATTATGGGAAAGTCCATTAAGTAATATCTGCTATTGTCTTATTATGTTAACACTGTATGAATTATGGAGGACAGTGAGTTCTGCTAACTAAAATATTTTAAATTTTGTTTACCCAGTACATCACATAACTCGTCTCATTATGACATGCTCTGCCACATCTTCTATTATTTTCTTATTTGTAGCTTATAATTAGTTCTCTGTGGTGTCATTAAAAGTCCTAGTACTCAGGCAACAAGCTATTATGTTGATTTTTCCACAGTGGTAGTGTGTACGCTAGAGGTCAGCCCAGCTAGGGACTTCATCTTCAGTCTCACTGCTTTTAATTTTCATATAAGCCACTATCAGCATTATCTTATTAGTTTCAACTGATAAGCTTGGAAGCTTTTGGCCTCCTAGAATAAATAAATGCACATAGAAGCAATTCCTCTTCCACTTCTTAAAAAAAGTTTGATACAGCATGTAATTTTTTATGGGTTCCAACTTTTGGGTGACATACAGAAAAAAGGTAAGGATTAATAGTGAATTTTAAAGGCTAATGAGATCATTCATTCAAACAGCTTTGTGCTTCTCACTTAGGCAGTGGCTGTGCCACCACTACTAGGCAGAGCAAAAACCAGAGAGATAAGCAAGGCCATTGAAAGGCTATATACACACATACATTTATAGCACTGAAGAAAAGGACAGTCTGGTAACTTGTGCCTCATGTTAACTTAACCCTCATGTTCACAGCACAGTAGAAGTGAAAGCAACTTGCACTCATATAGGCCCATCCCCTGTCCCATCTAGCTGTCCCTTGCTGGTTGGGGGCAATGGAAGTTGTAGTCCAACAACATGTGGAGGACAACGGGTTGAGGAAGGCTGTACCCTATGGCATAATTCTCCACACATAATTTAATCTACTTCGTAAAACTTAAAGAGTGGAAATCAAAGAACAGTTCTTAAAATAGAATATGACAAAGGAACCCGATTCAAAACAGGTTATACAAGCAAGCAAAACAAATCATATGCTGCAGAGTAAGATGAAACTTATGGGCCACAAGACTGGAGAATGTTCCTTGAACACTCTAGAGACAAAAGGGTGTTTGAAAATACAGATCTAATACTACAAACATGCAGTCAACTGTAGCTCACTGCTGCATATGCAAACCATGTTGAACTCAGTGTGTATATGAAGAATGGTCCTCAAAATATATATATCTTCCATTCTTCTAAGATGAGTGAACAACATTCTCCTCCCCCCTTGTCAATAGCCATACTCCCTTGGTGGTAATCTGATGGGAGTCTGCATGATCGCAGTGGGCTAGACCAAAGCTGAATTTATGCAGGGTTGGAGCCATAAAGGTGGCGCCATTCCTTTTCTACTACAGTGGTACCTCTATTTACTAACTTAATTAGTTCCAGAGGTCCGTTCTTAACCTGAAACTGTTCTTAACTAGAGGTGTGCTTTCGCTAATGGGGCCTCTTGCTGCTGCTGCGCCGCCAGCACACAATTTTCATTCTCATCCTGGAGCAAAGTTCTCAACTCGAGGTAACTCTTCCAGGTTAGCGGAGTTTGTAACCTGAGGCGTTTGTAACTCGAAGTACCACTGTACCTCCTTTCGTCTCTTTCTGCTACCCCACCTTGCCTTTGTTTCTCACATCACCACCCCACTCCTTGCCACTCACATGAAATTAGGGAAAGGGAAAAAATTCCTAGTTCTTCAGACAATCTCACTTAGTAGTAGGCTATTTAAAGCAAAACTATTTACGTTGACTCAGAAAAAGAGAATAGAGGGAATGAACTCCTAGGTTCATGAAGAAGCTAAAAGCCTCCTGACTTTGACCTCTGTACGCATTTATTTGAATCGGTTTCTAATACTACAGCCTGGATAAGGTCAGTTTGAACAACAGAGCCACCGGAAACCAGGCAACAACTGTTTTGTGCAGGAGTTGCGTTCCCGACCCACACACACATCAGTGGAGAACGTGTAAGCCTGCCTCGTCCCCTTTTCTGGCCACTTCCAGGTTGTGGCAATGAGCACATGCATTGAACACACCTAAAACAGTTGTTGCCTGTATTGACTACAGCAGCCTTTCTCAACCTGTGGGTCCCCAGATGTTGTTGAACTACAGCTCCCATCACCCCTAGCTAGCTCAGGGATGATGGGAGTTGTAGCCCAACAACATCTGGGGACCCACAGGTTGAGAACCGCTGGACGAGAGGAAGAGCAGAGCCAGATAGCTCTGCCTCTTTTTACAGAAAGCACTAAACGTATGAATTGGGCTGTGAATTTGTGTACTTGGGCTTAATAGAGTCAAACCACTACTGCAATACAAATTTACTAATTAAAATAACCCCACATGGCTAGCACAGCACAGAGTTATTGTGCAGGACTGATTCCTTGGCATATTTTTTAAAGAGAGGAGAAAAAACATTTTTTCTCTTTTTTCAGATCTCATGTTAACATGAAATTATATTATAGTTATCGTTAGTAACAGGAAAACACCAAATGCAGTAGTGTGAAAATATATGTTATCTCTAGTACTGCCAAATATTTTTTCAAGAGTGATATTCACAAGATGAATAAACAGCATTAATCAACCTGGTTCCCTCCAGATATTTTGGACTACAACTCCCACCATCCCTGACTACTAGCCCTAAGAGTTAGAGTCCAACAGCATCTGCAGGGCACTATGTTGGGGAAGGCTAGCACAAAAATCCTAAAAGTATTAACAAATATTTATCTTAACAGTCTTACCAATTTTTAAATCATCAGCCAAGCTCTCTTTTGTAAGATTAAGAAGTTCTTTCCCATCAATGTTGTTCCTTTTGAAAATCTCAACTACGTCTTGTAAGCCATGTGTGCATAGCCAAGATGAAACCTCTTCTTCTGACCAGCTCTCTGCAAATATCTTTGGCTCCTCTATTGCTGACCTTTCTGGAGCAAATCAAAGGAAGATTTTATACAAAAAGAACATGTTCCAGGTGAAACAGCCCAGCCTTTAAACATTGCTCTAAACTTGACTCTCAGTGTACATTTACACGTTTTAAAAAGTGTTACATAGTGTCCTTGACTTGTTAGAAGACAAATGCTGCTTTATTCTAAAAGGGCATAGGATGTCAATCAAATCAACCAAAGGCCTGGTTAAAAAGGAACGTTTCTGCCTGGCACCTAAAGGTGTATAATGAAGGCACCAGGCGAACTTCCCTGGGGAGAGCATTCCACAGATGGGGAGCCGCTGCAGAGAAGGCCCGTTCTTGTGTTGCCACCCTCCATACCTCTTGAGGAGGCACATGAGGAAGGGCCTCAGAAGATGATCTCAGGGTCTGGGTAGGTTCATATGGGGAAAGGTGCTCCTTGAGGTATTGTGGTCCTCAGCCATCTAAGGCTTTATAGGTCAAAACCAGCACTTTGAATTGGGCCCAGAAACTAATTGATAGCCAGTGGAGTAGAACTAGGATCGGAGTAATATGCTCAAACTGTCTTGCTCCAATGAGCAACATGGCCGCTGAATTCTGCACAAGCTGAAGTTTCCAAACCTCCTTCAGAGGCAGCCCTACATATAATGCATTACAGTTATACTTGATTGCACTGGTAATTTATTTAACATTTATAAGGATTTTCTGCAGTCTACATTTCTTGGACTTCAGCACCATGGAAAAAACCTGTATTGAGACTTTGGAAAGCCATTGCCAGCCAAAGTAGTCTAGTCAAGATGGACCAATTATCAGACTCAATATAAGTTTATTCACATTTCATATAGATTGTATCTTAACAAATGGTGATGTAAAGTTTATAAAGCACACGACAAAAGCATTCCTTTACTAACCTTTCAGATGTTGCTTTGGTTCAAACTGCCAGATGTTCACAGATTTATCCATTGACCCCGTAGCAAATAGTGGCATATCTGGTGCAAAGGCACAAGTTGTAACATATCTAGAAATAAAAGTAGCTTGTTAGATACATTTCACATTTTACATATCACATTTTTAAAAATTTTTATTTTTTTACCAACCACCAAAACACAAACAGTGAAACCCTCCCCGCCCCAGGCAGCTGATACATTGGGTATACATAATCAATAATAACATATTCAAATCAACCATATGTACAATTCTATATACCTTAACATTCCTCCCTCCACAATTTTAACTATTCCTCTTGGCTAATATAATGAAAACTGTTATGCTAACATCCTACCTGGTATGCTGAGTCAAAATGTGTAAGATGTTCCCAGTGTTCTGCCAACAACAAAATATTGTGTATGTTAAGACAAACAAAAATACAACTATAACCAATAATCTAAATTTCTACTGGAAAATGTCTACTGAAAGTTTCACAATCCCAAAAGGACAGATGTAAGGAATGTATTTACTGATGTTTACAACTAAGGACAAGGTAGTTTGAACAATTTTCCTGAAATTACAATAGAATCATTAGCTGTGGCAGAAGAAATTTTTTATAAATGCATATACATCCCTCATTTTCCCACTTAAGAATTTTACCATTTAATATTACAGATGAACTGATCACTTAACATTTTATTTTATTTTATCACTGAAGATTATTTATCCAGAATTAAGCCACACATGAGAAAAAAGGGGAACTGGAACATTAATAGAATTATGCTACAGAATAAAGAGCTTGTGGTTAGCATACTTGGCCACTAGATGCTACCCTTCACAAACATATCTAACATTGTTTTATAACAATTACCTTCCTCTTAATAAAAATAGTATCTCTAAGCAGTATTTTCAGAAGTCACAAGATTCAGTTCCCAAAAGAAACATAGGACATATACCTCCCTAAGTGATGCCTTCACATATGTTTTAACCATAAAAGTTTACGGCACAATAAATCTGTGAGTCTAAGTTGCTACATATGCCAACATTATTTCTGTAACAGACTAATGAACATACCCTCTAAAACAAGTGTGGGGAACATTTTTGACCAGGCAAGCCAAATTTTTATCTTCCTCTAACCCACAGAGATCAACTTTGATAGGCGGTCTCCCATTTGTCAATCATCTGATGCTATGATGGCATCAGGTGACTGACAGATGGGTAGTCCCACCTAACTGTCAAAGCTGGCCTATGGGGAAAGTGGTCTGCTTTTCCCCATAGAGAACATGCTAGTGAAGCAGCACCCAGAAGAACTGAACCCTCCACTCACCAGTTTAATGCACCTGGCTGCAGGGATCTGCTTTGCCACCATATTCTTTGCAAAGGAATGCACTGGTGAAGCAGATCCCAGCATAATTGAACTGCTGGGTGCTAGGGTCATATTCCCCAATTAAGACCAAATCTTAATTGCTACTCATTGTTTGTTTCTCTCCAATTCTGATTCTAAACCATGAGCCCAGGTTCAGACAACACAGCAACTCAAGACTCTGGCTTGTTATGTCCACAGCAAGGTAGTAGAAGTTTAAAATTATGGTTTAATGTGACATGTGAACTAGTAAAAAAAAAAAGAGGTATTTCCTTCTCCAATTCAATCTTTCCAAGTGTTGATTGGATTATAAGATACTTGGGAGCCCAGCTCTACGGAAAGCACAAGAAAAAATCAGGTGCCTCGCTTGAATTTCTTTGGGTGAAGATTATTACAAGAAGTGCCTTTAGCATATTTATTGTTCAGGTTCAAACAAAATTATGAAATAAAAACCTGAAATTACATACTGATAATTTTCAGAGGTTGATACGCTGGTGCACAATAGCACCATTTACTATGCTGACTTTAAGATGTAAACAAGACAGTGAGCTATTACTGTAATTTAAACATTTTATTATGTTTGCTTAGCTTCTCAAGATGAATAATAAAAATATGTTAACAGTCCAACCCTATGCCCTGTTTTGTCTCCAAGAGTAAAGCCTCCATCTAATTGCAAGAAGTCCTGCACCACTGAAAAAGCTCACAATTCCTTTACTACATTGCTATTCTTGCAAAATTATGATTAATATCTTACATACTTACAGTTTCAAAAATCATTACTGTTTTGTCCACAGATCTAGGAAGAAATAAATCAAATTGTGTATATGTAAGAGAAATGTAACTGAAATACAGCAACATTTGCCTCACAACAGAGATAAGCAACAGTTTTATATGCAGCTTTTACGTGTACCAACTCAGTAAGCTGCAATGCTAGTACTCATATTAGAACTCACTGTGGTACTCAAGACAGTGATTCAGGTTTTTTCCACCTTACGCTAACATATGGAGCTCTTCTTCGTTTGAAACTTCAAGAGAATGAAAAAAGGCTGGTAGAATAAGAACGGTGTTAGGAGCAAGCTGTTCTAAATGCCAATGCCTTAAGGATCCAACTGAGTAGCTAATAATCAGCAAAGCATAATCACCTCTGCTACACGAAGCAACATTTCCCAAATGCTTTTGCCTATTCACCTTCACATTTAGCCTTATATTCTGGATAGCTTTGACCTGATCCTCAGGTTGAAGAGGAGTAGTGAAAGAGCTGTCTGTGCTCCAAATTTTGGCAAAAGCAACTCAATATATTACAGAATGTCTCATAATAGGAATTCACTGTGTGCAGAACTACTGCATTGAGAATGATGTTTCATCATGAATGGATGTGATTTGTTATAGAATCCACTACCTATAGCTTGAAAAATTTGCTTAAGGCAAATATCACCCCATGTAGCTCAAGCAGCAAGGTTGACTGAATTCACGTTTCACTAAATTTCAGTTCAGCATGATATGCAAGAGCCACAGCCCTCCCCATTCCCATGACTAAGAGTTTAGCAGCTTTTTGTTTTCCCTTTTGTTTCATTGTGGTTTACCATGTTGCCCAGAGCAACCAACTGTGGTTAACAGTATGGTTACTATTAAACAAGTCAACTTCGAAGATAGCTTGTTGAAATTAACCAAAGTTACTGCTAACCACAACTGTGGATCCACTTCTAAATACCTCCTTTCAATTGCAGATGGGCGGGGGAGCGCATGAGTCTGAGACTGGCTGCAGCCAACACAATGTATTTTAAGTGTGACGTGCAAATGTGGCCTTTAGCTCCAGAAAAAAAATGTGGCATTTGTATGTATATTTTAGCTTACAAACCTTTTAAAAAGTGTAGGGGAATTGGCCCATTGTGGGTTGTGAAGGCAGTATAAATGCTACACATTGAGAAAGGCAAGTTCCATTATTTTAAATACAGTGGTGCCCCGCAAGACGAATGCCTCGCAAGACGAAAGAGTTTTCCGTTTTTTGAGTCGTTCCGCAAGACGAATTTCCCTATGGGCTTGCTTCGCAAGACGAAATGTCTTGCGAGTTCTTGCGAGTTTGTTTCCTTTTTCTTAAAGCTGCTAAGCCGCTAAGCCGTTAATAGCCGCTAAGCCACTAATAGCCGCTAAGCCGCTAATAGCCGCTAATAGCCGTGCTTCGCAAGACGAAAAAACCGCAAGACGAAGAGACTCGCGGAACGGATTAATTTCGTCTTGCGAGGCACCACTGTAGTGTATGTCCTGAAAATGTGGCACATGTTAAAATGAACTGCGCTCAGGGACACCATGCAAACCCCTCATGCAAATGGCTACTGTAGCCATTATGACATCATATATAGGCCCATCTTCATTATTTTGGAATGGATTTTAAATTATATAGAAGCTTCTATATAATTAGACACAAATAAACTAAGAAAACAAGTAAACAGAGCACAACGAATGTAAAACTGAATCATAAAAATGAAGCAAATATTCTTACCCAGAGACTAAAATCTGTCCATCACAGGAAAATGCACAAGCCAGAACTGGGGCAGTGTGTCCTTTTAACGTATATTTACATTTCAGTTCAAGGCCTATACATTTAAAAATGAACATAATTTTTAAATTCAAGTTTGGAAAGGTTGTCATTTGATACTGCCATTCACCCAGCCTTTAAATATGAAACTACTTAAAATTATGACAGCTTGGCTATGTTCTGTGTCTTGACCCACATACCTGGACAAGCAACAAGTCTCCCCTTTAGGAAGGAAACAGTACATTTTAAGAAGGCAGCCTTTTATTCCAACTTTAATACCAGATTTCATTCACCCAAAAGGATCTGACACCCCTATGAAGTAGGACAGAAGGAACAAATAGATTCAAGCATATGTGCTGGCTTGGCAGTCTAACCCCACATCATAGGGAAAATGCTAGCAGGAACCTAAAATGATGGTTCCTCATTAACAAAAATTCTCTTATTTAATTCTCCAGAATTAAAGCCACAAGACACCCAGTTTTATGGTATGAAAATCATATTGTGCTATCAGAATATTAACAATATGCAAATATTTGCAGAGCATAGTACATTTCAGTATACTGGAAGAAAAGAAAGCAGGAACGTATGGGATATATGGGGCAGACTGCAAAGCTACATTAGCAACAACCCAAACAATCCTTTGTTTAGCTGAATGTGTTTCAATATATTGCACAAAGCCATTCAAATCTTTGCTTCAAGAACTTCCTGACTTTCCACTGTGTTATGACAAGATTTATGCTCTTCAGCATAGCTTTTATACGTAAACCATGGTTATACACATGCTATAAATCTAATGTTTATGCAACATATAAAAAGCTGTTTTAGTATATGAAAACATATTGAAGAAAGCTTTTTAGACTCAAATTATCTTCATACAATATGAAACAACAGAATAGACATCGTGCACTGAACAATGACTATTATGCTACTCAATCAGTCATTGTACACGGTGCAGCATTAACACACAGCTTTAGAAAAGACCTCCTTGTTTTTAACCTGCTGTCCCTGTTTTACTGTTTTCATTGCTTCTTACTGCTTTCGGTATATGATATTATTTTGTACCTTTATATCACTGTAAGCTGCCCTGAGCACTGTGGCTACAGTGGAAGAGTGTTGAATACACTCCCTTTACTTAAGGAAATGTATACATAGCATTGGATTTTTTCCAGGTAAACAGCCAGAATTGTAACCTGCAATCCATGCTGGATAAATTGGGGAGCGGGCTCCACCAACATAGAGGCCCCTGCTGTACCCACTAAAAGTGCGGCAGTAATCAATCACAGTAAGGTCCCCAAATGGGACATTATGGGGGAAGCAATGGAGCTGCTGAACCCAAAGCCAGCTTGTTTCCTGAAGAGGGGCATTAATATGGCTGCCCCCCCTCCACTTGCTGGAATGAGAAGCAGGGCTTCAGACACCGAGTCACACCTCAGCTCCATCCAAGTACTCCCAGTCAGTGCTTCAATTGCTCCTAGGGCACTCATTGTTCACTAGAAAGTGACTTTCCATTGTTTGGGAAGTGCCCTTTCTTTCCTTTTTGCTTTGTGCGTATAGTAGCCTCCATCATAACTCTAATTACAGAGCCAAAGTCACCTGTGGCTACCCTACACTAAGCAGGGAGTTGGACTAGATGTCCTTCAAGGTCCCTTCCAATGCTCTCATTCTATGTGGATGGTACTGGTTGCCAGTTGGATACTTGTAACTAGGAATGTTAGCTTCATTTGCATTGACGGCATGCATCTATTCCACTCAGACAGACAAATTTGTAACTCAGGTCAGCTACTGAGATGCAAGTCTGTGGTGAAGCTAGAACTAACCACAGGATACCATACCATATCAATGTTGCCTAATGGCATGGCCCTTAATAGCAGTAATTTCCCAGCATTTTGGCGCTTGAGTGAACATGGAAATCCCATAACACAGCATGTTAAACTGATATTTTTTGTTAACTGAATATTTCTTACTGTTTGAGCAGAAAACAATTTAAAAGCAAAACAGTATGAAGCTAGCAATTTAGTGTAAGAAGATTAATATTATTGTTATTATTATACATACCTGTATGATCAGCAAGTGAAATAAGCCATATCTTAATTGTGCTGTCCTGGCCAGAAGATGCCATTAGGAAATAGTTAACATCTTGCTTATTACCTGGTTAAAAATATTTTTTTTAAAAAAAATGTATTAGAAACATAGCAAAGCAAGCAAGATTTCATTTTTTAAAAAAATAATGTCTACATGTAAATTGGACATACACAATTAGAATTTCTTTAAAATGTTTCCTAGGTATTAATAAAAAATATGTTCTAAAACTTCTGTATATATGTACCATTACTATGATCCTAAAGTCTGTAGTCAAATAAAAGCATGCTCTTAGAAAATTGTATATGAAGAGGCAAAGGGTGGTAATCTGTATGGAGAATATGGAGAGTTCCTTTGTTGTGCCCAATTCAAGTCATACCAACTGCTTGCCCATAATCATGTGGGCTCAGCATATCTTCAGAAACTTCACCCATATAACTTCCCAGCCCCCACACATACACTACTACATAGAAATGGACATACCGGTACTACATGGTAAGGAACAAGTAGATGTCATTCAGCCCAATCCTAACCATTGTCACTTAGAAATAACTTCTGGTTTTAATGAGGCTTGGTTCTATATATGCATGATTCCTACAGTTTCTGAGAATCTGAAGTTACAGAGACCAGTACAACTGAGGACTGCCATCAACTGGGAGGATTGCCTGGAAGGAAAGCAGAGCTGCCTAACAGCAAAGGGTTTTTGCAATAGCCCTATAGCTACTGTAGAAAAATAGGTCTGGAGAACACAATGAGTGGCATTCAACTGTTGATTCAGAGTAGACCAGTTGAAATTAACAGACTTCCTTTGTCACGTTCATTAATTTCAATGATCCTCCTCTGAGTAAAACTTAGTTGGGTACCACTCAGTAGTTTCAGTGTGGTGGGATGGGAATCACCTCTGTAGGTTAAAATGTCCCAGGAATTTGTACAGAGTTGCAACTAGAGAAAGATTAGCGTTTATTTTTAAATATTCCTCAGAAAGTCTGTAATACAAACAGACTTCATTCCAGTAATCCCCCATGGGAAATAACTCTTAGCTTCAAAACAAATTAGAAAGCAGCTAAAACTGGGATGTTTAGGCTATATTATGCACACTTTTCATTATCAGTACTCAAATTGCTGTGACTAGCCCTATTCTGCAGATTTTCTTGTCACTTCTGGAATCAATTTGCAACCCACCCTTTCTTCACTTCTGATTTTTTTCAGAGGATATTTGACCATAAACAAAACAGGGTTTCACAAGTGAACCACAACACATTTGACATGAAAAGAAGAAAGTCTTATTTATAGAACACATTAAATTCTAAAAAGCCAATTAGTAAACAACTGCAGGGAAAGGAGAAGATTTGCTGTAGCTGGCAAGATGGAAAAATGAAGAATAGCTTTTAGTAGTTTTCCCAAAAGGTGAGAAAAACACATCTCTAGTGAGTGCATCACTGTCAAAATCAAAGGCAAAAATATATATAATGACTGTATAGACGTCAAGCAAAAAGCAAGAAATTCCTATCAACAGAAAATGGAGATCCAAGAGAAAATTGTCTCAAATAAATCTGTCTATTATTATACAGGGATTCTTAGCTACAATAAAAATAATAAATCAGATATTTACAACACAAGTCTTCAAACAAATATAATGAAACATGATAAAGATCATTTAACTGACTTAGAGAACAGTCAAATGGATATGGTACCAATTGGAAGGAAATAAACTACAGTTCTAGAGCTGTACCATGGTTTCATGCCAATCATGTGCATGTCAGTGGATGCTGGATCACACAGATCCAAGGCTGCCCCTCCTCCACTACCACCACCACCACCACTACCAGAAACCTGATGGTAGTATATCTAGGCCTACAGAGCTTTCTGTGGATGAACTGGGGGACATCATGTAGCATAAATGCCTTTCTGTTGAATGCCCTCCCTCTTCAGTAGCAGAGCAGGATTTGCACTGCCATTACAACTGCATTACAACTATAGCTTCCCAAATAGTATTTCAAAGCAATTAAAATATTCATCTTCTAGGAAAGATAGTTGGGTAGAATATGTACTTAACATAATTTAAATACTATGGGGAAACTGTCTAAATTGAAAATAATATAAAAGAATTATCTTCGTATTACGTTGAATCAAAAGTTTAAATACAACTTCAGTTTTGTGGGTTGTATTCTAAGTAGCATTTTGTGCAACTTCCACTCACACAATAGAACTTTCCCCCCTTCTCCTCTCCCTAGATATGCATACCCTCCAACATTTCCCTGATGAAAATAGGGATGTATAATAATTATTATTATTATTTATATCCCACCCATCTGCCTGGGTTGCCCCAGCCGCTCTGGGCAGTTTCCAACATATATAAAAACATAATAATACATTAAACATTAAAAAAACTTCTCTATACAGGGCTGTCTTCAGATGTCTTCTAAAGGATTGCATAGTTACTTATCTGCTTGGCTTGGGGGTCGCATAACTCTATACCCACAAGCATTTCTCTGATGCAAACAGGGATGTCCTAAGGAAAAGCGGGACATGTAAATCCAGGACTGTCCCTGGAAAATAGGAACACTTGGGGGTCTGGATATTTTCTGGGGTTTCCAACTCTCTGGAGCAGATTTGAGGGTGGTACACAGTGTGCATGCAGGGAAGAGGGGGAAGTCCCAAACTTCACTTATAGTAAGTTCAATTTCTATGTTAGATCCCATGATAAACTGCCAACATTTTTAAACAGTAATTGTATGAATATTGAAGTAGAAACTAATGAAGCATTCTCAAGGTTCAAATCAGATGGGAGATTAAGGAATTCACATTAAAATATCTTAAACATCCTAGAGTTTATGATTTTCTATTGCTTTGTTCTATGTAACACCCACTACAGAAAACAGAACCTTTAAGATTTCCAGGATGTTGCAACCACAGGCAGCCCCTCTTTTCCTTACATCCACACTCTTCTATGCCAATGCCTCATCTCGGTGTTTGTTTCTGTAAGGCTTCTAAAAGGGTACACACAACTTTGTGTTGTCCCTTTTCAGCTAAACTTTACACCGAGTATTAAGGAGTATTCAGGGAGAATCCAGATTGCACCATACTTTTTTGTGTACAGATTGGGCACAGTACCTAACTGTTATGTTTATTTTTAAAAAGTCCCAAGAAGGTTGGTATCCACTATAATCCCTGAAACCCTGGCTCACAATGAACACCTGAATAAGAGTTTCTCCATCACCCACCCTCTCTAGCAGGCATAGGTAGACTCGGCCCTCCAGTTTTGGGACTACAACTCCCATCATCCCTAGCTAACAGGACCAGTGGCCAGGGATGATGGGAATTGTAGTCTCAAAACGTCTGGAGGGCCAGGTTTGCCTATGCCTGCTCTCTAGTATAGGTAAATCTCTGAATTATTCTCTCTCTTTTCCTAGGTTCTTTGATTTCTTAACCTAAATCTCTGTGCTACCGCTCACATTGCCCAAACCCCAGAATGACACTTACTATAGTCTTAAATAAGAGTATATTCAGGATCACTTAATACAGGTAAGTTATGGCTAAAATTTGTTTGTAAATATAAAACACATTGGTGAAAATTCGAACTAAAAAACAAAACAGACCAAGCAAGATTCAAGTCAATTTATTCCTGCATTAACTTCAAGTTCTATCACGGCACTACAGCTTGCAGCATTTTTTTTTAATATGGCAGGTGGTATTCTTTCACACAAGAGTGTTTCAAAAAAATAAAGAATAAAAAGTCCTAGCAATCATGAATTTCAATATGCTATTAATACCACAGAGGAAGGTTCACAAAAGGTTCCAGTGTCAGGAGATGCAGCTTCTGTACTCTTGTGTCACTTAACCTCAATATACTAGTATACAATGTTGCAGCCTTACAACACAAACACACACCTCTCTACTCAGAAGTAAGTTCAGTGGGCCTTACTCCCAAGCATTCCTATACAGTGGTACCTCGGGTTTCATACGCTTCAGGTTACAGACTCCACTAACCAGAAATATTACCTCGGGTTAAGAACTTTGCTTCAGGATGAGAACAGAAATCGTGCAGCGGCGGCGCAGCGGCAGCAGCAGGAGGCCCCATTAGCTAAAGTTGTGCTTTAGGTTAAGAACAGACCTACAGAACGAATTAAGTACTTAACCCGAGGTACCACTGTATAAGACTGCAATCAGGGAGAGGAATCTAAAATGGGGTTGCAGGGAGAACAGAATATGATGAATCGCCTTTCCTATGCCATGCTGGGCTCATGCCAGTAGGGCAGAAAGGGTGGTGGCATTTCCCCTTTTTATTCTGTTCCTCCCCCGCCTCCTTAAAGCAATTCCCTTCTCATTGGAATCTAAACTGTGCCAGGTACAGAGCTGGTATAATTTGTCCCTAGTTCCAGGAGCATGTTGAGGGAGCGAGAGTTCTTCTAGCATGCCCTCAAAATGCCTCCTCTTCACATCCCCACTCTCCCCAATGTCTAAGATGCAACACCAAATAGGAACTGACTGCTGAACTCTCTGCATTCTCAGAGAGGAGACATGCTGTGTTTGATCTCTCTCTTTGGTGGGAGACATCTCTCTCCAGCCTCAGAGAGACAGAGAGATCCAATGGATTTGCTGGCTTCTGGGATGCTCTCCCAGGAACCAGAGGACTGCAACATTAATGTTGAGATAGATGACACTAAACTTGAGCACTATGAGAAATTCCGTAAATTCTTAAAATAATTCTCCTTATCACATTCTTTCACAAAGAGCCTAGATGGTCCAGTTCTCCAGAGCTTCCCAGATATCTCCTGCCTACCCCCATTATCATGCCTAGCAAAAGGGCAACTGAAGAGAAAGGAGGAAAATCTGAAGCATCAGTACTACAGGCCTCGATGATAAAACCAATTTGCATGAGAGGTAGGGCTGGAGGAGAGAAAATATATTAAAAGGATTTACTTAAATAGCAAGTTAACTAACCAGAAGCCAGCTTTGAAGAAAAGTCACAGCAGGTGACTCCAAGATCATGAGCTTTCTCATTATACAAGCACTTCATTGTCTCATCCCAAACAGTTAAATCTCCACATGATGATCCAGTCACAAAGAAACTTGCATCAGGAGCAAATGCACAGGCTACCAAAGAGCCATCTTTAATACTGCCAGATCTGAAAGACAAGAATAAAGGATCATGAATTTTGGAAGTGCAAATCACATAAAATATTACAAGCCTGATAAAGTAAGATAAGCATGAATTTAACCAATTCTGAAAAGGAGAATATGAACAATCTAATGCAAAGCAATTTTGCTGGCACCTCATGCACCTACAAAGGCACAGATAAATCATCTAACTACGAAATATCAAGACCTGCCTGTTGTCTATTTACTTGCAGTAGGGTATGGCTGTGTTTAGCTGCAACATTAAATTATGATTTAGTATTACAAGAATGAGCTTCACTTAGCCTTGAGCTTGCTTCACCTTTCTTCTCTCCTCCTCAGATACAGCTGGAAGGACCTTGGAAGCTTCAACTTCAGTTTTAAATCAACCAGTTTAGCATGTTGTCTGCTCCCTAGACTGTTTAATCCTGGCTACAGCTAAATGAGAAAAGCCAACTTTATAAACTATGGTTTGAAATTGTCCTCATTCAAGAAATCATACCTAAGACTAACTAAGGAGTCTGGTAACATAGCAAGCTGTGGTTAATTAAACAAAAGGGAAAACTTCCTAATTCTTATTTGGACATGCATTAGAAGAGAAGGAGGAAGCATGCAAGTGTGAGGCTTACTGTGGGTTGTTCTCATAATGCTGAACCAAGGTTTATCATTATATCTAAACAAGACCACTGAATCACATGAGCTATAGAAGAAAGCTGATAATTCTTTAATATATTAATTGCGTAATAAAAACAGTTCCGAGCTAAATGCCAACTACATAAATGTATTATTCCAAAATGCAGAATTTCTAGCAATTTATATTTTAATGGGACCCATAAGCATCAGAAGGTACTGATACTTGTGGATTTAGAAACAAATTACAAGACACTATAGCATGAAAGCAGCTGAGGGGGACACCAAGGAATCCGAGATGGTTTTTGGATCTATACAGAACTTACACCTAACATATTAATAATAACTACATCAAACTGGTGCTAAAAATTAGAAACACTTTCCCAAGTTCTGGCTCTGCTAGCCCTCACAAAAAACAAAAAACCTGTTGCTCTGTGAATTTCAGTGTCTCATCAATAAACACAATGGGATGCTTATTGTAATTGTTCCGGTAGCGGATATCTAAATTGCTATTTAAGGAAAGTAAGTTATCACCATTTTTATTAACAACAGAAATTATACCGACTTCATCTTTACTACTGTATAATACAGTCTAATGGCTTCCTCCAAAGACAGAGAGGAATCTAAAAGTACTTTAAGAATGTAAAATTTGTGTGATGTCTGTCAAGTTCAGAGGTGACTCAACTCTGACCCTCCAGATGTTGTTGGACTACAGTGTGCATCATCCCTAACTATTGCCTAAGCTGGCTGTGGCTGCAAAGAGTTGTAGTCCAGCAACATCTGGAAGGCCACAGGTTAGCTACTCCTTTTCTAGTTACTGGGGCCTGACGTACTCACCGGTATACTTTAAAAGACTGAACATTCCAAAGATTTACACTTCCATCAGCAGCTCCTGAAACCAAGTACGTGGAATTAGGGGAAAATCGACAAATTCTTACAGGATGCCTACAGGGGTGCTCCAGCACTGCCAGTTTCAGTCCATTTTGAGTTTCCCACAGAACTGTGTTGCCATCCGTAGAACATGAAGCTAAAAGGTTTCCAAAAGGAGAGAAGCAGCAGCAGTGAACAGCATATGTGTGGCCTCTTAGTGGTGAGTAAGGAAGTTCATCAAAACTGCTTAAAGAATACAGACGGATAGATTTATCCAGGGAACATGTAGCCAAGTAAGAAGAAGAGAAGGCACAGTAGTTGACATCATCACTATGATCTGTCAAGGTGCAAATTAACTTCACCATTTGGTCATATAAAGTGACCTGAAATAAAGAAGAAAAAGTTATAAGCATTCATAAATGTCTAGATTATGTTCCCTTTTATTATCAGACATTATGATTAGAAGGTAAATATTTATCTTTACCACAAAAAATTCAAAAAGATGAAGATACATACCACTTTAAAAATTGTATTTTACAGCCCAAGGAATCTTGAACATTAACTCCAAAAGGTGCACAGCATAAATCGTATTTCCTAAATGTAGACACTGTCACCAATGCAGAATATTTATTTGCAAAGACACCCTTGTTCTTGGGACTGCAGCGCAGAAAAGAAACTCACTCCTGCCCTATCCATGGGCCGCTGATACCACCTGCCTCCAAGGAGGAACACCACAGCAAAAGGAAGACCAGCTGGGTCCCATTTATCAAGCAGAGAAGGAGCAGCTGATAGCAATTTACTTTCCCCTCCAGGAAAAAAACATTCAGCTCCAACTTCCAGTTGCCATGAGATTACAGAACAGAAGGAAAGCACACTCTGGATCTATCTAAGGCAGTGTTTCTAGGCAGGTAGTACAGATGCATAACCCAGCAGCCCTTAGATCAGTGTTTCCCAAACTTGGGTCTCCAGCTTTTTTGGACTACAACCCCCATCATCCCTAGCTAGCAGTACCAGTGATCAGGTATGATGGGAATTGAACTTTAAAAAAACAGCTGGAGACCCAAGTTTGGGAAACACTGATCTAAGGGCTGCTGGGTTATGCATCTGTACTACCTGCCTAGATCAGATCGCATTGCTGAGAGTATGAAATTTCAAGAGCTGGTAACTGAATTTGCTTGCGTTCCTCCTCATTTTGTATCATGTATAGGGATAGCAGAAAATTCCACTCTAAGCAGACAAAGGAGCAGAAATTGCAGCAGACTGCATGTTTGTGGTCAGGAACACATATTAGGCATGTGAATATGATCAGTATTGACTATTTATTTTTTAACCTGGAAATGATACATAATTAACGACTGTGTCCACCCCTCCCTCCATTTTCTGTAATTTTGTCTCCATCAAAATAAATTGCCTTTACACTGAAACAGTGTGGAATTATGTAATTAAAGACTTCATTAAGGACATGTTTATTTACATTAAATTCAACCATAACAGACAGTAACATGAATAATATAGTTTTTGGCAGAAGCTGAACTGTTCTTCCTCAAGCCAATTTCTCATTCTGAGTGAGATGTGCCATGATTAAATGCTGCAGCCACACCAAAATCCTTCCACATAAAAACCTAGACTCAAAGGAAAAGGATTCTTGCCTACCCAGTCTTCTTCCTCACATACTAGTCCCCCCTGCCCCTTTTTTGTATGAAAGAGTGTTTAATCAGGTGAGTCCCTCCCACTTACATTCCTAAATGGTACTGTCTAAAAATAACTAGGTCTTCTCTCAGTTTCATATTTGTAGAAGTGGGAATAATATTGAGCCACTTTACAGGAATGATGCAAGTAGAATTGAAGTTATGGCTGTACACAATTCTACAATTTTTATTTTAAAAGAGTCTAAAATAATGAACAGTAGCACAAAAAGAACAGCTTTAATCTTCAATACCTGTGACAATAAATAGAATCCTCTAAGCAGCTGGAGTACACACACTTCTTAAATAATTCTTAAATATTGGCTTGGATTCTTCTGGTATGTTGTTAAAATCTAGTCACAGAAGCCTTGCTGGAATAATAAAAATAGCATAAACATTCAAAACAAATTATGGCTCATGTACCTTACCCAGTTGTACATATACTCAGCATGTGTTCCATATGTCTTGTATGTCTGATGAAATTGTACAGTCATTTATCAACAATTATTTAGATGGCACAGTAATACCAATCAAACTTGAAAACCAGAATACCAAACTCTGATGAGTACTTATCAGACCACCTGATCATGAATACTGACTGTGTTTCAGCTATGATCCATATAGAATCATTTACATCTACCTACCATTTAAAGAACTTTACCTGTGAGTAAAGTTGTTTTTTAAGCCCAGTCCTATGAAGCTAAGAAAACTTGCTAGCCTAGGAGGTAAATCAAATGGAACTCTGAGAACTTACCTGTTGTGTAAACATACTTAGGATTGCACTGCATGGCACCTAAGCCTCCCTCCTCCTCCGTTATGTTACAAGAGCCATGTGCTTTGAAATTACTATTACAAAACATAAAACTATTTCTGTAACTGTAAGGAATATATGATAAGACTCTGAAACACATTAAAGTAAGGTTACCAGTAAGATTTTTTTCAATGAATTCAGGGACACTCTTCAACTTCAGTAGGGATGATAGGATTTTGTCAAGGACTGATTTGTAAATCCGGGGACTGTCCCGGGTAACCTTAGATTAAAGGTAACTTTGGAAGATTATTTCCATATTAAATGCTTTAATATGTTGTATTTTATTTTTGTTTTTAAGTTGTAATCATTCATCTTGTTTTTATTATTGCTTGTAAGCCGCTCTGAGCCCAGCCTTGGCTGGGGAGGGTGGGGTATAAATAAAAAATTATTATTATTATTATTATTATTATTATTATTATTATTATTATATACCACGGAGAGAAAAAGACAAAAAGATAGTACTGAGTTCCATATATTGTGCATATGATAGTTTGTATGGATGGATGCAAATTTAGAAATAAATTACAATTCAAGCAGAAATACACATTCCATCACAGTGTGGGAAGACTGACTGCTCCCCCTCAACCTGCTGATGCGCAACTTTTTTACAGCCAAATCCTAACCCTATCTACTCTGAAGGAAATCCTACTGAATTTCCGTGGGAATAAGTGGGGCCAGGACTGCAGCCTATGATTTCCACTTGTCACAATCTCAAGCGACAAAACTTTGTGCCGGTTGTGGTAAAGCTTTACTAGCGTCCTCATTTCAGGAATATGAGGGTTGTTGTTTTTTCATTCTACATTTTGAGCTCCTTAACAAGCGTGCTTTGTGCGAACTGGCTATTTGTTCTCACCAACCTTGGGCACCTGTGACGCGCTGATACTCAAATCAACTTCTTTATATTCAGTATATGTATCAGCCAGCGGCGTGACCCCAATAGAAACATTACCGCGCACCCCCCTCCAAAAAAAACAACCCACACCTGGAGCCTGACTGGCCAGGCTTTGAGAGGACTCAAAACAGCCATCCGTTTGAGAGGAGCCCCCTCCCCGAGACTCTGAGGCGCAAACCTCCGGCTCCCCCTCTCCCTGGCGGTGGGGGGCGTAGAAGACGAGAGTGAGGCGACGCCTGCCTAACGCCCCCTAACTACTCTGAGGGGAATCAAAGAGGCGAAGCCTGCGCAAACGACGCCAAGCTTCTCTCCCCCCCCCCCCACTGCTCCCCGTCATTACGCCGCGCGCGCAGCCGCCCGTCCGCCCGCCTTTTCAAACTTGAGCGTTCCGTGGCGGCGGTTGGAAGTTGCCCGCTCCCTTCTCCCGCCCGCTCTCCCATTTTCCTTACCTCTTGTCTTGCGGCTGCGCCGAGGGCTCCGCGTCTTCCTCTTGCAGGCTGCGCGGGCTTGTAGCTGACGGAGCACAACAACAACACTGGCCCCGCGGAGGTCACGTGCGCGCGCCACGCAGGGGGAATTCCACGCCCCCGCCGCCTCCGTGTCTGGAACGCCGGCTCACCTGCGGCCTGGTGACACGCCTCCAACTGGAAGGCGGAAACTGAGGCGAGGGGGGGGGGGAGAGTTGGCGAGCGCGGTGATGTCACCGCTGCCTCCTTTTCAACGCAGCCAAGGAGGGCGTTGGTGGAATAGCATTTTTTTTCCTCCAGGTTGTCGCCTTCCTTGCTCTCTCCGGCCCCCACCTCGCCATTTCACGCCTGTTGCTGGGGGTCCGAGGGTGTGGAGAGAAGGATGCAAGGTCTCCCAGTCTAACGCACATGCCAAATATTGCATTCCTGGTCAACTTCCTGCCCAATTAGCGCGAAGCCTGCCGGAGGTTTGTCATCTCCGGATAATATAGGACAATATTTTTCGCATGATAACATGGCCCGACATTGCCATGTTGTTTTCCATATGCGTACATAGGGGAGCAATCACGTTTGATCTGACTACAGGTGTGATCGAAAACCATTCATTGCATCATGCAGCTTACTAGTTGCTATCATACCGCTATACTCGATTTTCTATATACCTCTCAAGCCTTTTATCCAGCTTGCCCAGCGTCTTGCAATTGTGGTGCAATTGACTTCCGACAAGCACACAGAGCGCGAACAAGACTGAGTGTATGGGGGGGGGGGCTCGTTTAATTTCACTGCACACAGGTGGTGTAGTGACAATAAAGGTTTATTATTATTATTATTATTATTATTATTATTGCTGTTCTGAGAACAGAATAATAAGCAAACCAAAGTCACTGTTGGAGGTGATAATATGTTTTTGTTAGATGGGTTGCTCTTTTGGCTTGGCATAATTGTTACACATCTGTAAAAAAGAAATGGCTGGTTAGGATCTGATTAGATTAAGAACAGGAGAAGAGCCTTAGCATCTCCAATTCCCACAGTGGTGGAACAGATGTTTAGAGAAGGCTCCCAAGCAGGAAGTAGAGCAATGGCACTATCACACTAAAGTTCCCCAAACTGGTACCGAGATATGCTCCCTATGATCCTGGAGAATAGTACACAGTGATTATGATTAGTAGCAATTGCCTCATATCCATGAATTTTTCTAATCCTCTTTTTAAAGCCATGTAAGTTGGCATTCAACTTTGTGCTGTGAAGAAGTGCTTCCTTTTGTCTGTCCTTGTCTCCCTCCCATTTGTAATATACACCAGTCATAAAGTTATTCATACACAGCTGTTCCCCCCCCAATCCCCCCAAGAAGCACCAAAATTTAATTACATTTAACTTTTAAATCATATTAAGTTTTTAAACCAAGGTATCATTCCAGAGATTGCCACAGGACCTCAGAGGCCTATAACCACGTTCTGTCAGTGTTACACTTGTAATGAAACCATGCCATGTTAAAAAATAAGTGATTTTCTTGCCTGTTCAACTCTAGTTGTTGTTGTTGTTGTTTAGTCGTTTAGTCGTGTCCGACTCTTCGTGACCCCATGGACCAGAGCACGCCAGGCACCTCTGTCCTCCACTACTTCCCGCAGTTTGATCAAACTCCTGCTGGTAACCTCGAAAACACTATCCAACCATCTCGTCCTCTGTCGCCCCCTTCTCCTTGTGCCCTCCATCTTTCCCAGCATCAGTGTCTTCTCCAGGGAGTCTTCTCTTCTCATGAGGTGGCCAAAGTACTGGAGCCTCAGCTTCACGATCTGTCCTTCCAGTGAGCACTCAGGGCTGATTTCCTTAAGAATGGAAATCAACTCTAGTACATGGGTTCTAAGTTTGTCCATTAAGTCCCAGAGTTGTAAGATCCAGATCCCAAACAAGTCTGCATTTAGAGTCTTCCAATACCTTGTAATAGTAAGCTGTGCAGACTTCATGAGCTACAAGTACAAGTTTTGTTCCCTCAATGTATATAAACAACTACAATAAGCAATTGCCTGGGTGCCTGTGGTAAGTGTCACTTCAGGCATTTGGGGGAAAACATTCTGTTTTCCAGGTGAGCAGAATGCCATGTAAGTGATACATTTCAAAACAACTTCCAGAGGAACAGGTTTTTTGCAGAAAAACAACCAAAAGTCTTGTAGCTCCTTCAATACAGTGGTACCTCGGGTTACATACGCTTCAGGTTACAGACTCCACTAACCCAGAACTAATACCTCGGATTAAGAACTTTGCTTCAGGATTAGAACAAAAATCGTGCGGCAGCAGTGGGAGGCCCCATTAGCTAAAGTGGTGCTTCAGGTTAAGAACAGTTTCAGGTTAAGAACGGACCTCTGGAACAAATTAAGTACTTAACCCGAGGTACCACTGTATTTAATATTTATTATGGCATGAGCTTACGTGGACCAAAGCCCAATATTAATTTCGTAAACTGATAAGGCTGCTTTAAAATGTATTACAGTACTTTCACTGACCTCCACACAGATGCAAACATGATACTCTACAATATACCCTCTGTATCAGGTTAGTTTGACTACTAGTGCTTCCTTCTTTGTTTTCAGCTGTTTTATTTATCTGGGCTCTGCTGATACAGTAGAATAAATATATCATCTTTATGGCAATATAAATGTATTTTATATCACAGCAACGTTGTTTTCGATACATTTCTAAAGTTCTTTATATTCACTAATAATAAATAATTATTATTATGCTTGACAGTGGTGTAAATATCAGCTGATTAAGTATGCTGGTTTTGCCAAGTTAACATTTATTCAGTATTGCTCATACTGAGTGACATAATGTCATGCAAATTTGTGGTTCAAGCCTTTTCACTAGTTTTCTTTATAAGTTCTCCAATGTGGGTTGTTGGGTCCCATGTCCAAGACACTGGCCAATTCTGAATGGGGTTGCGCTCACTCTGAAAGTACAGGTTCAGGGTCTGAGGTTTCTCTTGAATCCCTCTTTGTTCTTGGAAGTTCAGATAGCCTCAATGTCCTTTTTACCAACTACAGCTGGTATGCCACCTATAGCCATTCTTGGGCAGGAATGGTCTTGATTATTACAATGCACTCTTTGTGGGGCTATCCTTGGGTGGGTCCAGCTAGTACAAAACACTGCAGCTAGTCTGTTGATGGGGATAGACTATAGCATAATGCCAGCACATATCTCCAGTGCTCAATAGCTTGCCCATATGCTACTGGACCAGGTGCAAGATTCCTGTATTAATTTACAAGGCCCTCCTGCATACCCTGGGGACTACCTGATCCCTTGTATCCCTCAGTCACTGAGATTTTCAGGGAAGTCGCTTTCAGTCACTGTGGTTAGTCACCACATCCATGAAATGTGGGTCCAATTTTGTGGAATTCCCTTCCAGCTGAGGTTAGACAGGCCCCACTCTGTTGAACTTTTGGCATTTACTTTTATAACCTATTAGGCTTTTCAGCTGAATTCTGATTGAAAGGTATTAACTTATTGTTAGTTTTACTATATTGGGTCTTCAATACACCACTTAGACACACCAAAATGTTGAGATAAATATATATAGAGAGAGATTTCAGATTTCAATAAAAACTTAACATCGTATCTCTTTCCTTCACTCAGGCAGGGACAGTTTAGTTATAAGTAAAGGAAACTTCAAGGGGGGAGGGGAGGAAAATGAAAGGAATTTTAATTTTAAAGTTACTTTTAAAATGAGGATTTAGGTGGGTAAAAAATGGGTAGTTGAATCAAGATGGTTCTCCCCAGATTGACAAAGAAGCTAGAGAAGCAGAGATAAAATACACAGGTAACAAAAGAAATAACATTTCTATGCAAAATGAAAAGCAATGAGTGATGCATTCAATTGTTTGAAAATTCACAATAGGGAGTAGATTAAGTCTGAATCCTACTCATGCATCTGAGTTCAGTGGCATTTACTACTACTACTACTACTACTACTTATTATTATTATTATTATTATTATTATTATTATACCTCACCTTTCTCCCTGACAGGGATTCAAAGCAGATAAAAAATAAGAACTTACAGATAAAAAGTAAGAACAGCTATAGAAAAGGTAATAATTAAAAACAAACAATTGTGAAAGCATTAGAGCTATATATGGTAAGAATTGCAATCTTAGTACATATTGACTGCCTTTGGCAACATATGCTTCAGAAACAAGGAAAAGGAAAAGGCATCTGTACACATTTGTGAATATATAAATTATGTATATTGCAAAGTGATGCCCTTATCTATTTAAGTTTAATGTGTGCATGTTTAAAAAAGTCAGAGAACAATGTGAATTGTTTTCACAGCAAGAGGTTATGCTACAGTATGGGTAGACAGCATGAAATCCACTTGATAGTCTTTTTTGTTTTTTGTACAGTTTCCTACAAATACTAGAACTTGGGACAATCAAATGAAGCTGAATATAGGAAGATTTGGGACATACAAAGCTCTTCTTCACAGTGCATAAACTATGGAATTTGCTCCCACAAGTGATGGCCACCAACTTTAGAAGATTAGAGAAATTCATGCAGGGAAAGGTTCTCAGTGGCTACTAGTCATAAGGATGGCTATATTCTTTTTCCACTGCTAGAAGAGTATGCTTCTGAATACTTTTTGGAATCACAAGTTGAAGTCAGGTTCTGCTTGCAGGCTTCTCATAAGCATCTGGGTAGGATGCTGGACTAGGCAGGCTTTTGGCCAGAACCAGCAGTTTCCCTTCTTTTCTTATGGACCTATTGGTGACCTCAAAGGATATTGTTACCTCTGTGGATATATATGACTTAGGATCTGCTCTCTGGAGTGGGATCCCTGAGATCTAGTCCCAGTGACTACTTAGGTGGATTTGCAATTGTTAATTGCCTCTGTGCTTCTATAATCAAAATTTGTTTTGTGGCTGCTAATACCCAATTATTACTGTTCTACTCCTCCTCTGCCAGATGAATTGGCAAAAGTGAATTTTAAAAACTGCTATTAAAAAAATAGTAACTTTTTTCTTTCTATTAACAACTTTACACTTTTCAGAAGCACTCATTACATTTTCTAGTACGGAACTTGGCCATAAATATCAGTAAGTCAAGTAGAACAAATCTTCTTGTAAGCCTTTGTATGCTAGAGATAAAAGACTGATTTCTAATTTGGATAAAATAGAATTAAATATTTCTGAATAATTTACTGAAACTAATTATCCACTCTCCAGTCACATGTATTAGGCAATACAACACAGAAATAAAGCTATTCTACTGCTACATATCTAAAGAGTCTCTAAAAAGCCTTGTAAGAAAAAATTAAATCACTATGAGATTTCCTTGGAACAACAACAACAAAAACCATTCCATTAGTAGTATTAGAGTTTGGGCACCACTGAAAGCTTTCTGATTATGATGCTATAAATACTTTTGCCAGTAAAGGTGAATTATCTTTGACATTTTACTAGTGAAATACCATTATACAAGCGCAGCAGCCGTTGCACTTGGTTTAGTAGGAACACAATCCTACACGCCCAGGATGGAGAACCCATGGTCCTTCAGACATTGTTGAACTCCAGCTCCCCTCAGTGAAAATGATGGTTATTGTAATCTAGAAACTTTCAAAGGGCCGCAAGCTCACCAATCCTACTAACTGGGATAATGTCCCCAAAATTCAGTAGACCTTACTTCTGAGCAGACATGTATAGTATTGTACAACATGTCAGAATGAGCCTCAGAACTGCAGCCTAGACCAGGAGACGCTATGTAATATAATGGATGTACACATACGGGTTTGTGCAGAAAATGACTGTGCCTATCAAGATGTTCCAATAAAGTTTCTGAGCCTTTTGAACCACGAGGCCTTTGGTTTAGTCCTGCTGTAGCACTCGCATAACTAATTCCAACTAGTATTGGGCTTCCATTAGCCAGCATTGTTGTTTCAGACAGGCCTGAATGTGCTTTGGCATAACTTCACAGAACGGGTACCACAATCAAAAGCCATTTTAGCTTAGCTCTTTCCAGATCCTTTCCTTACTCTCTCCTATTCACAACTGCTGGAGGTGGGGTGGGGGAGATCTCACTGCTAATTAGCAGCATTTTATTTATTTATTTTAAAAAAATACTACAATATATATAGGGAATTAAAATAACCAAGAAAAAAAACTGGTTTGCAAAACAGTCTTTTATTGTATCCGTGCCACACATACTAGTGAAAAATAACACTCCTAAAAAAAAGAGAATGCTACCTTTTCCACAACGTTTTGTTTTAAATGAAACTTCAAGTACTCTTACATAGGTACAAAAAAAATTCTGATCTATTTGCCTCCAACAGGCCACCACAACACACAGTAGATAAAACACAGTGGTTACAAATGTCTTTTTGTTATTTCTGTGGCAAGGCAAATGGAGGGAAATGTTTTTATGAAAAAATACTGTGTGCGTAGGAAATTGTCACAATTTTATTCCACATGGATACAAATGATTATACTTGAATCTGAGGCCCTGGTGGCTTGAAATTATATAACAAAATAGAAAAATGGAAAACTAATATCCCCTACACCCTGTTTTAAAGGCAGGCACTACAAAGATTAAGGAGACTCCACAGTGTTGGTAGAGGATAATTACTGTACAAGCCATATATCTATAATTACCTTAAAACTAAAATAAAATGCTACAGTCCTTCTAAGGCATAAACAATAATGTCTGCAAACAATATGTACACATCATACATATTTAAAACAAGACTTAATATAAACAATAATGAACAGTATATACATATGTCTCATTTTCTTCACTGTCTTGAAATACAATTTAACTACACAAGTGATGCAGCAACATATATATAAATGTACTTGTAACTCTACAGTAAAGTTTAATTTTTCGTGCTTTTTACAGCACATCAGTGTAAACAGTTTTACTTGGCTTTGTTTTATATTTTAAAACATTCCTTGTTGTATTTTCAAGATTTAAAGCAATTTTATTTTCTAATTCTTCCTTTTCACAGAAAACGAAGAGTCTGGATGCTATTTAATCATAAATAATTCATAAAATTAAATACATTTACTAAAAAATAAACTACAAAGTAAAAAAAAATGAAAAATAGATATTTATTGAAAGGGAAAAGAGAACATTTTTCCCCAAGTAGAGCTCTGGTGGTTGAATATTCAGTGCGTTTTGATATATTTTAAATTGCTATTGCACTATTACACCCCTTATGTTTAAATTCTTTGGGTGTGCTTCCCTGTTCTACCTAAAATAGTTTGATAAAACACACAAACCAAGAACCAAGGGCCATGGTTGCTGTAGGAGTGAAGCCTTAGGAATTAGTACCACTCCCCAGTGATACTTTAAGGAAAAATAAAACAGTCATTAGTTATGCATGTGCCTTGTACTTTAATGTAAATACAGTTCACATTGCTGGTCTCATTTATCCTCATTTAATAAAAGAAAACATGTTGGACTGTGATCACTTCAGCTCACTTTGAAAATCTCTGTCCATTTTTTTTCAAAATGTTTCCTCATGTTGTGGCCAGCCCGGCCTATGTCAGAATCATCTTCATTAAATGTTTCACAGTTGTCAAACACAAGCCTGACATCTACAGCAAAGGCTTCAAGATTAGGATACCTGAAATATCAAAGAAAGCAAAATTTCCTTAAAAATACAGAACGGAAGCAAAGGATCTAAAACCTTCAACAAGGAGGAAAGATATAACAGGATTAATTTAGAACTGCACTTTGTTCATCTTAGATTTAGTCTCACTTCTTCGCTACGTGTTATCTTAAACACAGCAGGTGCTGAATGATACTGGCACCACAGCTTTCAATGAAAGTAAAACTGAGTGGTTTGGGTCCATCCAAATGAACAGAAAGCCCATAAATGTCTGCAGTTTTAATGCAGTATGGGCAGCCATTTTACCCTAAATAGCTCCAAAACCTCAGAGAGACAGAGAGAATGGGCCCAAGTCATTTCCAGGATTTTATGGACTCAGCATCACCACAGCCCCCTTTTGAGAACAAACTGCCACACCTAGTACCCACACATTAGACTGGGCATGCATGTTATCTGTCTGTTGCTTTGCAACAGATACTCCAGCCCTGACAAAGGCATATCCTTTTATGCCTGCACAGGATGTGGTACAGAAGCTCCTCCATTTGGTTTGTATGACTGCAGCAGCAACTTAGTCTGCCTCTTAAATATCTATGGCTTCATCCTGAACAGTGGCCTGGCCTAAATGGTCATTAGCACGACTCCCGGAATCAATTGCACTTTTGGTCCACCTCGCCAGCCATCGGAGCTGGGCACTGGCTGGCCGATTATCTACTCTTCCACCTACAAATCCTCTCAGCACCTCAGATTGTTCACCCAGTGTTCTGTTCCAGTAACAGGGGGGGAGAACCCGGAAATCTGATTTTACCCAATTATTAAATTTTTAAAAAGTTGATGCAATATTACATTGACTTTTTGGGTGGGTGGGGGGAATGGCAGTTCCTTTGATTTTTACTTACTGTCCATTACTTAGCTTCTCTCGAATGGTGGAAAAATCCATGGGTTTCTTTATAACTTTCCTATAACCGGGAACAAGTTTCAAGTTTACAGGAAGCAGGAAAGGCCATGCATCTTCATGAGTTTCCAATTCAGACAGCAGAACACTAAGAAAGGCACACGCAAAAACAATCAATTGCTGAACAGCTTGGTGCCTCACATGATATTGCCTAGCTATACTTATCTATAAATACGAATGCTGCCTGCTGTGAAACACACTGTACCAGTAGATAATAATTAAGTTTTATTTAGATTTTTAAAGCAAAGTTTCAAAGATAAAATAAACATTACTTGGGAGGAGAAATGAAAAGTAGAAGAGATTTCCACTAGTGGATGATGATGATGATGATGATTAAAATTTGTATAATGCAGAGGGGGAAAGGTGCTGAAAGCCTAAATCTCAACAGGAAGTGATCTTACCATGACAATATCCCCCACTTCAGATCACCCTCTTCCTGCCCAGCCGAGAAAACAAGGTTCGGAGTGTGACCTGTCACATGTGTTGGACCAATGACATGTTGGCACAGCCCCATGCCTGTCATGGCAGCCATGATGTCCAGAGCCACCCCAGAGTTAACTGCTTGGGCATGGATGCTGAAGTTCTCCAAACCTCAGCAGTCTGGGAGTCCTCAACACTGTCTCTGAGACTACTGGGCAGTGAGGCGGGAAGTAAACCAGCAGATTGCCTAATCTGTCACTAACTGCCCATGCCATGTACCCCTTGCCAGGCCTTCCCTCCCTTCGCCTTCTACAGTAATTGGGGTCCCCCTTGCTCTCTCCAGATCCTCTCTTCCCAGGCACACCTTATGCCCCTTAATATGCAAAACAACAACAATCAAAAATTTAAAGGCACACAATTTTAAAAAGCAGTTAAAAACAATTTAAAACATTTTAAACAAGTAGGGCAAGGCCATACCCCGAGCAAACAATGTTATGGGGGTGGCTTTTGTTCTTGCCTCCTCCCAAAGCAGTTCATCTC